CAATAATTGTGTAACTAACCTGATAAGGGTTAGCGGCCTCCGTAGTCTAGAGGTAACGTTCCCACCTCATGACTCGTAGTACGCGGGTTCAAATACCCGGCGGAGGTCGTCGAATTTTTAAGGGCGGAAAAATTCAGGGAACAAGTCCTCCAGGAGGGACTTTAAGCTGTGGGTCCCATGTCATAGCTTTACGGCACGTAAAAGAACCTCATACCTACAAAGGAGGTCACTGAGCCAAAATTGCGGACGTTTCCCGCCCAACAGCAGTCACTAATACCTCCGGTAGATGGGGGAAGCATTATAGATACCTCTCAGCCAATAGAGCCGGTCTCGCTGGCTGGGCGGGACTGATGGTAAGCACCAATACCGATAGGATATAGAGACTGGCAGAAATCATAGAGGGAAGCACAATAGACCACTACAGGTCTAAGTGCATGGGGAAACCCACCCTCTCTAATAACTAACTAAAACTAACCTGATAAGGGTTGAAACATGTAGTGTGGTTTAAATTAATAAAGATTTGTTGCATTAACAGCTGAATTTTTAAAATTAATATTATTAGTTGTATTCATGTAACAGGATTCAAACAATAAAAATTATGCAACATTTCTTTCAACTTCAGTCTACAATTACCTAAAAACCCACTAAAAAGCAGAAGGGTTTCTGAGAAAAAGCGACTTAAAGAACAGAATTTAAAACATGAAAAATTCACTCTACATAACAAATCTGGCCTGTAAGAACTGAGAATGCAATTTCACCTGATTTGATAAAAAGCAGAGCAGCTTACAGCTTGGATAAATTTCAACCCTTCTGCCTGTCTGTGATTAACACTAAACTGTATACAGGGAACATGCACAATGGCCAAAAAAGGGAGGGGTTGTGTACCAAGTGAAAATTCTTCATCGGCCTGAGTTATCAAAGTCAGACCACACTAGCATGTAGGCTAGCCTGCAATACAAAGTAAAATATCAAGTACCATATTCAACAAGTTTTGAATAGTTATATTACATTAAATTAACTCCAGTGAAGTATGAAACAATATAAAAACCGTGCTGAAAAATCTCGCTTTCAGTGTCTGTACCGTACTGCAAATTGAGACCATTCACACATTAAATTACCACAACAATATCTACAAAACACATACTGTGTTAAGTTCCTTAATCCAAGGAAAAAAAGTTTGCACTTTTATATGGAGAAAGGATTTATATAATGAATTTCTGAGAATACATTCATCAAAGCAAAGCTACAATTTCATCATGGCTAAAAAAACATCTGCCAAATTACCATTATATTCTACTATAACAAATATATAAACCTGAAGAGATGAAAATGGGGCAAAATGTCATTACAACTAACTACATCCGCTGAAATTGTAATTTCTTTTGGATCTATGGTGGACTAATAAATACAGTACAATACAATCAAATCTGTACAATGGAAGGAAGCATCAAAGCATGGTTAAATAAATTCAAAATCAGCTAGGCTTCAATATCTTTTAAAAAGACATGCCAAATCCAGACATATTTTAATAAACACTTTTCAAAGTAAAACCTTTCACATATATTCACAGCATCATGTGTGCCAATATGCAACTTTTGAAAGCAGAATAATAGGCCTTCAAAATTCCCAGACCAAAATCCATGTGAATTTTACCTACAAGGAGAGTTCAACAGCAACAATTCCATATGTCTAATGGATTGTCAAAGAAGTGAAAACAGACATTCTCACCTCCTCTGATGCTAAAACCATTATCCTCAAATCTGCATCAGTTATAAAAACAAAGGTGTATGTTCTGTTCTGAATGCATAACAGAGCATTGACAAAGTTCCTGCAGACTGAATATACCTGTTAAACTTACAAAACAGCAGTATATTTCTGACAATATGGTCATCCAAGAAACTCCATGAAAGTATCTGTGACTGTGATGGAGGAAGCCTCAACTGTGAAAAATATTACTCATCTAATATACAATGTGTATAATACTACCATGCTGTATTTAAAAGAAAATAAAAACTTGTATATTTATACAATATTAGAGTCAATTTTACCGACCACACAACATATTTTTATTATTATTACACTACATGTTTCGACCTAAAGAGGTCATCCTCAGGTGTATGAACACAGCCGTATAATTACACGCAATCACATTCGTCTTCCCACTTATTCGATCCTGTATCTTATTCAGGCTCACGCTCAATAATATATCAAGCTCTCTCATAAAACACAAGTTAAAATGGTTCTAATGTCAAAAGTTAAAATTTAAATTTAAAATTTTTAAAAAATTTTAAAGTTTGTGAATAGAATTTCAATTCAGGTCAATTTTAACAACTTCAACAATTTTAACTTGTGTTTTGTGAGAGGAGCTTAATGGTCCAGAACAACTCTATTATCCATGATTCTGTGACCTAAAAGCAGTTACAATTGACAAGATGACAGAAGTTTGCAGTGTCATGTGTCAAGTAATGAAATTTTTGACATCTTAACTTGTCCTACAAAAAGGGAACAGGTTAATAAGCTATAGTTCTACTTCTGCAAGACATAATTTTAAAAGACAACAGGACAAATTATCCAAAATTTGAAAGAAAAGAGTTATATCTTCTGGGATATAACGCCATGTATAGTTTGGAGAGAATCAACTGACATTCTGGAAGAACACATCACCTCCATCTTCGTGGTCAAAAAGTAAGCCCAACAAGAAAGAAGCATGAAGGAGGCAGTAAGAAGAACTACCTCCTGCTTTCTTACTTTGCTTATATTTTAACCCTGAAGATGGATGTGGCACATTCCTCTCAAATGTCACCAACTTTCACAAGATTACATGACATTCATGATACCATAAAAGACAGAAGTCTTCATAAATTTATATAATCACATCACTGTTCATTTGACAAAACAAACGCATAATGGCATACAGCACTTAGTATATGCCACATCTGTGGTATTGTGTATATCAGCAGTGCTGCAAATTGCAGTTCTCAGTTATAATCAAGCTCTAACATACTGTAGCACTGCTTACTGCTTCAATGCAATGCATCAGAAAGCTCTGCAAATTTGGAGATAAAACTGTTAAAGCTATGGTGCTAGAAAGTTATATAATCATACAACAACTTATTCCTCTGCACACTAATGTAAGAATGCAGTACTGAAAATAGTAAATTCTAATGAAGCATGGTAGTTTACTTAATCAGGTATGTAAATCGCCAAAATATCACCTGTTACAGCACAGGACATCATCATGCAGTTCACAATGCAACAGCTCTGCTACGTGTATATAAATATTCTTTCGAACAGTGTGGCCCGTTTAAAAGCAATCTGTCTGTGCTCTAAGGCTCTTCTGTAGAGATCTGTTATGTGACAATGTATTTTCAGATGATCATTCCCAGTATCATGATGGAGACAGAGACAGGGAGTGTCTGAAAAATGCTGCACTTCTGCTTTGATTGCCACATCTACTGCCCATAAAGATTTTAATGCCTTTAGTCACCACATTTTCAAGCCTTAATAGGTAAGTTATACTGCATAGGAGGACATCTGTAAATTATACACAATTCACACTACAAATAATATAAACCTAGTTTTGGTCCATGTGCATTTCACATGCGCACGCACACAAGCACACCCTGAAGATAAAAGGTACAAAAAGCAATGTGGCCAAAACGAGCTGCTTTGTAATATGGCAACACTCGACCCCATATGGCAGAAGTGACAATTGAAGTCATTCAAAAAACTGAAATTTGAGCTTCTTCCTCGCCCAATACTTCATTTGTTCACAATCCTGGCAGAGCTCAAGCATGGGATTTTTAATAATCCAGACTACATCAACATCACTTTGCTAGTAGAAGGCATATTTCTATTTTCTTGGTTCTGGGTGGTGATGTGTTTCCACTCCATGCTTTGACATCTGGTTCAGAGTGGTGCAGCTATGTTTCATCCATCACCTGTGCTAATATGTTGCATAAAAGCCTCTTCTTCTTCTTCATAATATCACTGCAGAAATGGTTTCACACCTCTATGCATACCTGTCCGTGCTAATCTGTGTGCTGCTTGCACATCTACCTTGCTCAAATTGTGTGATATCCAGGGTCATCATGGATGTTGGCATATACAGACCCACAGCTGACGCACAACTTGTCAGCTACAGCAGCGACAGTAATCCATTTATTCTCATGGATCAGAGCATTAGCTCATTCAGTGCTGGCTGCTGTTCATGAAGTGGTCATATGGACTGAGTGGGCTTCACCAATGGTGCTTTTCTTCCACTTCTGAACCTTTCCACTTACAGGAACATCTTCGTTTCCTTATAATGTACCAACATTCTTCTGTGAAACTCGGAGGGTTTTATCCCTTCTGATGACAAAACTTAATAACAGCACACTGCTCCACAATGGTGGACACCAAAAGCACAGCCAACATGACACTATGACTGCATAAACTTCAGCAAAAATAATGGCTACCTCACATACCCAAGACTTGTTTCAATAAGTAGGAAATATGATGCCTGCAAGAGTGCTGCATAACAAATCTCCCTTATTTTTGAGTCCAACTAAGAGAATTTTGGTCTTTAAACTAGTTTATTAATAAGAACATGCTAATGCATTCAGCTCTTACCGAACCAGCAGCCTCTATCTTTGAAAAAGTTTTGTAAGATCAACACAAAACCTTGAAAACTTTACAAACACCAGAGTACATAACTATTACCTTTGAATGTTGAAAATCAGTCACACTATGGTGTACTAACCATCTGTATTATCAATCCCTCACTACAATGAAAGTTACTGCTCATGAATAGAAACAAGATTAGCTACAAATGTCCATGAAATCCCTAAAACTTGTGTATATAAATTCATTAATTAAATTAATGCAAACCAGATGTACTGAATTGTCATTTTGAATACATCTACTTCATACATGTAACACATCAGAAATGTATGTTGTTAATGTTACTTAAATGTTAAGTTGCCTAAATAACTCCAGCGCAACAAAGCAGCCAACTCTACCTTATTAGAGCTAAAGATGCCAAAGAGGCCAACCCTCTTCTTTATCTTCCCTGTTGACATGGTGCCTTTAACTGTCATGGCTTCTGGTCTGATGGCAGTAATAGCAACAGTGTTGATTGGGGCAGAAACTTCACCACTCTTTATTGCACTAAGATCTTCAAATGGAATATCTTCTGGTGGTTGAAATCCTGATTTATATCTTTCTATAACCATCTGTGTATCCTAAACAAATATACAACAGGCTAAGTAATATTTTCAGGAAAGACCATGCCACAAGAGATTAGTGTTGATGAGTAAGATGTGGATGACAGCATTTGTACCAGACAGATAAAGCACAATTCATATTTAAAGCAAAATTTGAGATAGATTATGATCAAGGTTTTGGTGATTGTGACCATATAAACTAGCATCCTTTTCCTGAACAAAATATTTCTCACTCCACCTCTTGCTTTCTAGCCCTTAAGAAGCAAGGAACACTCTGGAAACAGGGTCACGGTTAAATATGGTTAAATACTGTGAATAACACACACACAAAACCTCATGAAGTACAAAGGAACTTGTGCATGGAACCTAAAAAAATATTTACTAACTTTGTGAAAAGTGAGAGAAGCCACAGCAAAATAATAAATAATTTGGGGACATTTTTATGATCCATAAAGAAAAATAGTTAAAGATGAATATCGGAAATAAGCAAGTACAAATGGAAAACATAAGCTTTCAAGAATTAATTAGCTATCAAATTTCTGGAAAGTAATAACACATATTTGCATCCACATATTACCAGGTGGCCGACATCTAATTATCTTACTGAACAAATAAATGAATAAAATATAAATACTCCAACACTGTATATTAATGCTGATGGAATACTTTTGTAGTGAAATCACTGGTGTTTCTTTGGGTAGCAAGGGATTTTAAGAACAACTGAAAGGACTTCTTTAAATGACAGAAATCCAACAGTGGGATAACTGTGATGGGACCACAGAACTGTGTTAGGGCTATGTTACAACTTAAGAAATTTTAGTTCAACATTTCCCAAAAGCATGGGTTATAACCCAGATCGGAACATTTGGGATTTGTGGTAAAAACATAACAATGATGCACAGTCTCATTCAAGTATTTTAGTTTTCTATTGCCATCACCATTCGACCAAGGCTTCATATAACTTGCCAGAGCCACATTTGGTCCAGGTGAACTACTCTTCAATTTCTCTGCTGTTGTCCTACATTCACTGATAATGAAGGGGTATACCATCAGATCACAAGTATCTGTAGCAACTAATATGATGTCATCTTACATGATAAACCCTTCTTTTCAGTGATTTCTTTCCTTGTGCTTTTGTCTTGTTAGGAAATCATAAGCAATCTTCACATAAAAAATACCATCTGCATACACTTTTGGTTCATTAGTTGGCAGCTGTTTATTGCTTCAAGCAATCAATATAAAGTCCCATGGCAGCAACTAACAACACATACACACACACTGGTCAATGGAAATACAATTTCCTCAAACAAAGATCCACACTGAAAGCTGAAAATATTAGCTTGGTTTCTGGGCAGTTCTTACCATTGCCACTGGTACAGTGAAACTTATGTGTGGCTAAATGAACAGTAGAATGGTCAAGGTTAATCAGATCTACCAACTACTTGGCTTGCCTTCTCTTTCATGGAGAAAAGTACCTACAATCACAAGATCATAATAAGAAATAGTAAATTTCATTATGTCAGTTTCAGTTACGGGTATATTCAGTGATTTCACTGTTTTGGTCAAAGGGAATAAATTGTATATTCTATGGACCTCAAGGTCCTATATGCTCACTTCACTAATTCCTAAGGTTATTTCATTTCATTCTCTGTAAAAATATCATCTGTGCTGTTTTAATCCTCTGTTCATTTTTGGTTCTAAGCATGTGGTATTATCTTCAATACATCAAGCTTGTTTCCTTAAAAATCCTTATTTAGTTCCATGTCAGAAATTTATAAGTCGTATAAAAATTTGTGCTCGTTCGAAAATGTTTCCACTTGTTACTTTTTGCTCTCATTGTGTATTTTCCTCTTGTTGCCGTAACTTCACAGTACTACAGTTTAAAATATTTAAATTACTCCAACATATGTAACATTTACAAAAAAACTGCTTTCAAAGAAAAATATTCTGTGATTTACAGATAAAATATCTTACCTCCTTCTCATTTATCTGTTCAGCTGCTCTTACAATGCCATCTAAACATTTGCTGATGATAGGAAACACATTTCTCTCAATGTCAACTGACTGTATCATGAAATTCTTGATATTCTTTATTCTTTTCTCATCTAGTTCTTGTAGATGATGGAAAACATCTGGCATCATTGTGTGGTAATGCTGATTCTGCAAACACATAACTCAAGATACAATACTGAAAGCAATAAAAATACAGATATTACTCATGTAAACTGACCAAACTGATAAACAAACTTGTAACTATTGTAATCTTCGAGGAATGCATCCTGTTGTGTTAACTTATACTAATTATTTGTTTATCCAGCAATGCCAGTGAAATCAGTAAACCCATTATACACAGTTAATGTGAACGAGATTTTGAGAGTTGTTGAGTTGTGACAGATAAACAAATAGGTAGTTGTAACCATTGGATTTTGGTAGCTGGGCCAGCTCAGCCATGTATTAGATAAGGCACAAACTCAGATTTTCTAAATTCAAAGTGTGGCTTTCTTTGGACATGAACATAACAGACATCTGTTTTACAGGATAGCTATACAAACTCAAAACACACTACATATCGACTCTGAGAAACAAGGAAGAGCTACTGATTTCATAGTGTGTGAACTATTACAGTCATTTGTGATAAACAGAGAGATCTTTTTTATTTCTGTGTTATAAATTGTCTAGTCAAAATCACACACTTAAAATATGTATCTACTATGAGTAACCAACACATAGTATACTACAAAGTGTCTTATGTTAAATACGATTGTCCACTTACTCCATTTAATAATAGAAAGTATCACCGTAATTTCACACGTCTTTTCTCAACTATGCTCCTACCTACCTAAACACACCCAGGCCTGTTGAATAGTATTTTTCTATATGATATCTGACAACTGATACTACTGAACACTTTTGACATTTTCTTTTCATAATTTTCATAGCATGTAAATGTGATACATTCCTCATTTGCACTATTTGGTTTGATGAATCTTGTTATTATGGCTTCTACCTTATACTCATTACTTTTGGCTGTGATTATATACAATATAGTCTCCCGAAACGTAATGTAACTTTGCTCTAACTGGTTAAAAAAACCAACAAAGAAGTGTGGTGAGTGGATGACTGTACTACTGTATGTTAATCGTTGCTGTTGGTACAATAGGCCAGAAGTAGCTGCAGTACAAGGGACTTAGTCCCACCCCACCAGCAATAAAAAAAATCGTTGCTGTGATGAAGGGAAGTCGGTAGTTACAGAGTCTTTACTCCTTACACTCTCCATGTATATTTGTTTTCTTTTACCCTTTACTAATGTTTTATGAAAAATTTATTCCATTTCAGGCATGTTTGGTGTACAGTAAACCTGAATATACAATGGGGCATTTTTATACCTCAAACTTATTTTTATGTGTGTATAAGATCCCAGAACATATATGCAACTTTCTGGAGAGATTTGGGAATATAAACGTTCAGATCAATATTTATATAACAGAAAACTGCAACAAAGGCATGTAATGTTAGATTTTCAAAATTATTACCTGTAAATCATTGGTCTTTTGAAGCTGATTAGCATATTCATTTTTTGTTTCTTCACACTGCTGTGATTTAATGGACATGTTCATCCGCTGTTTCTCTACTTCAGCTCGTGATAAGTTCAAGTCTGCATCTGCCCTCTGAAAGTTATCCAACGCCCTTTCTGCTTCCTTGAATGCTTTTTCATAGTTTTTGCGAGCTCTGTCCAGAGAACCAATCTGAGCACTCAAGTTTGACATCATACGAGCACCTTCTTGTAAATGCTGTAAAAGAATATTAATTACATATAAATGAGTAGCAACCATACAGAACAGATATGTGTGCTGCTGTACAGATCCAAATATTCTGAATTTGGATAACACTGTTAAGGAGCCAAATTAGAACATACAAAAGGGGCCCATAACACAAGGTTATGTGTGAGCTAAGCTGAAGGACAGCTTCTCCACTACAAGTGAACACCAAATTGTTTCCCCTACCCTGACAAGTCCCAGCATCAGTGATAGGAGGAACGTGATACTTTCTCATGATATTCATGTGCAAGTATTTGCTTGATATTCTTTGTGTCGGATATGAATACACTCACACTACAGAAACAGGTGTTACTGTATGTATACTGTAAGTGTCTGCTGGGAAGAGTAAGAGGGCATTCAGAAAATAAGTTTTTGAAGATGGGTTCATCACAGACACACCATTCAGAATCTTCTTAATAATGTAAGAACAATTTCTGTAGGTCTCTTAGGAGCTTTCACAAAAGAACAGCATATCAAAAAGGGACTGCGACAACCTTTATAAAGATATTAAAACTACGGCCTTACAAAAACTACAACCGTGTACCCTTTGCAGCTGTGTGCTCTAATAATTTCATTTCTGTAACTAGTATTTTCAGTCACTTTCCAACATCAAATTTCATTCCAAGTCAAAATTTTGTCTGACACAAAAATGTATATTGAAGAAACAACTAAAGCATGCAAGCCTTAATCTATTTAGAAGGTGTGTAGAATGTGTCCAAGGTTATGCCTCAATTCAGCCTGCAGATAATCTCTCTGTATATGTGTGTATGTTTCTCCTCATCCACATATGTAGTTTCTAGCTTGCACTGGTTCCAAGACACAATGAAAAAAGTAAAAGGTATCTGAAGTTGCAATCTTGTTTGAAAAAGTTTATCAAATTCAAACATAGCCATTAGCACTTGATGGTATAATCTACACATATCCAATGGGTATCATGATATGGTACTAAGGCATGAACACTTTAGGCAACATATAAAATAAAGCCCTTGAAATTTGATCCTCTAACACCACAGGAGGTTCTGCAGTACAAGACTGTCTAATATGAATCTACACAGTGAATTTAATTTTCTGTCAAAAAGAAAATACTTAAGTTATTTTTGAGAGCTATAAAACATTAGAACCCTTCCAGTGCAGGGTCTCTTGTACACCAGCAGAACAAAATGCTCAAAGTACACATAATTTCAATTAAACAATGAACAGTCTTGAATACCATATTTAATAAAAATTTCCTCAAAGAAGCAGTGTCAATATTTTGAGGCAGACTGACACTTCCTGCATTTGCAGAATGTGTTTGAGGTGTATAATTATATATTTACTACACAGTCACTTAATAAAATTAAAGTCAAGATTGTTAATTTCAATTTGATATATGCTAGTTGAAGAGTTTCTCAAACTATCCTATAATAATAATTAAAAGCGACAAAAAATTTCCTTGTTTACTTATAATCTGACTTCTAGGGCACTATATAATTTTTTAGATTTTTAAAACCTGATTTTCCCAAACTTAAATAATTTTTGGAAGCACTTTATTCCTTGAAAACCTAACCAAAGGATTCTCCTAAATGGACACAAATTAGGTACATTCATATCTGCAAATAAGGAGTTTCAGATTACTTTCTTGTAACTACATCCCTTTCACAGTTGAAAAACAACCTGTGAACTGGAAATACATTCACTTACCTATCACATCAATGGCATAACCACAGTTCAGGATTTGGGAAGTACAGGAAACTATTCTGACTTAATCTAAAATATTATAATTGCCCTCTTTCCTAAATTGAACTTGTATTTTAATATTCAGCAATGACATCAAACAAAATACTTCATGTGTTTGTTACCATAACAAAAGAGGGTTGTGGAAAAGATAAAATAATATTTAATTTACATACTTTTTTCCGTTCTTCTTTGAAGTCTTTTACTAAAATTGAAACCTCACGGATCACATTCAACTGAAGGTTTTCTGCTATCACTTCATGCTGTCCTGCTAGATCATTTATTTCTGTCATCACATGTTTGAATGCTCTGCAAGGACTGTACCTAAAACAAACAAAATGTATATATTTTACACTCATGACCAACCTTAGGTAATTATAAAACCAAACCATTCATCATCATCATAACAAAAACTTGCAACCACACCCTGTTTTGATCCAGTGTGATAACCAGGGCCCTGATTTTGATGACGTGAAAATATTTTAAAAAAATGACCTATAAAATGACCGAAAAATCTAGAAAAATGACCTAAATATAACCCAAAAATGTAATATGCAGGGCCCGGATTTGATGACCTGAAAATATTTAAAAAATGACCGAAAAAATCCAGAAAAATTACCTAAAGGAGAAAAGAACACTTCGCTTCCATGTTATTCACATTTCAGAAAACATATGAAGAAAAAAATCCCTAAAATGGCCAAAAATGAATACCCTTAAAAGTCCAAAATTTACCAAAAAATTACCCCCAAAATGACCTTAAACCTAAAAATGTCAAAAAATTACTTATAAAATTTACATTTCTGTAACCAGCAGCTCATATCCGAGATTTATATATTTAAGAGCATCGCATAGGCTACAAGGAAAAAAGATGACATATCATCAAAATTTGGGCCCTGGTGATAACCAATCAACTGACTAGCTTGGCTAGCTCAGACCTGTCCAGATGTGACATGCAGGTCCCATGAGGCCCGTCACTTAGCTTTGTGCAGCCGCGTGGCATCCTTCATACCCCAACATATGTGAAAATGCTTTCCTCCTCTTTAAAAAGGCCAGCAGATCTTGTCAAAACTTACTAAGATTGCTTACTAAATATTTCATGTAACTCTTCAACTGCTTTCACACGACACCCAACAAATAATTTACAGAATATGAAATCAGTATGGCTGCATATTATAAAAAATACTGGTGGGGAGGGGGGAAGCATGCAAAATGTAGCCCATGGGTATGTACCTACGGTATAATAAGGCCCCTCCATGGTTAGAAATTATACAGTCCTAAATGTCTTAACTCTATAAAGGAGAGTTTGCTAAGAGTTGGTGAGCTGGTCCAAAACATTCCTGCCCTTCATGGAACCCATGTGTTCATCATGTTCACAAGAACCCACGCTAATGTGTAACATAATGCTAAGATCACAAAAGATAACACATTCCAACCTACATCCACATGCTCAACTTCCAAGCAGGTTTAGCACTAAATGTTCGACTGTATCTGCCATTAATCTTCTATGTGCCAGACATTTAGGAGTCTCAGCCTTTATCATGTCCCAACTCTCATTATTAAATCTAAGGTAAAACAAGGTAAAGCTGTCCCTGTGCTTAACTAATTAAGCACTACACCATGAAGTTGCATGGGGGAGTTGATATATAGTTCCACATTTTCTTGACCTTAGCACTAGCTGGAGGTGAATGGTCAGCTTCATGTCCCTGCCACTTTACCCCTGGGGAAAGTGCCCCCAGTACCCAGTGGATAGGAGGCTGGATGGGCCCCAGAGCAGGTCTGGACTATATGGAGAAGAGAAAATTCTGACCCTATCGGGACTCAAACTCCAACCCCTCGGTCATCCTGTCATAGACAGTCGCTATATCGACTGCACTACCATGACTGACATCTCATTATTAAATATGAAGTCATAAAATACTTTTCTCCATTCCCCAGTACACTGTCCTGTTAATGAAAACAGTAAGAACTGTTATATCATTTCTCTTCAGACTTGTGACATTTGGGATTCTCGCAATAGGGATTATGAAGAAATTATGTCTGCTGGGGTATAAAGCTGTACAGCCTGGTTTAAGTTCACCTACAATTTGGAGTAATGTATGCCACCATCGCCAGAGCTGAGCGTAAGCCCTGCAAGTAGCAAAGCCTGGCTCATTCTTCAAGTCTCTAAATGGAACCAATATATTCCTCCAAAATACAGGTCAACTTCAAGCACACTACTTGGCATAATATTCCAGAAGAGAGCAGTGTCTTGTTTATAAAACTAATAGTGACACATAGTTTTTGTAAGTACTTAAACCAACTATGTGACCAATTTTCGTAACAACTCAATACAAAAGGTAAATCAAGGCTACATTATGTTATACTTTCAAATTCAATCTGCCAGCTGAAACTGACAAGTACATTTCGGAACCAAAACCACAAGGACTGTCAGGGGCAGTCTTGAAATATGTTGTATTTTCTGACCAGATCTTTCTGTTCTTTGGGGGGTGGGGAGAAAGGATGAAAAGGTTTACTCTTTGCAATTTTGCATACTTCACTGTCTTAGTGTTCATATGTTACACATACAAATTGTTTTACTGCAATTGCAAATTTACTGAGATTCAAGTCTTCATGATGGTGAAAACTAAAATTGTACCCTTCTGGACAGAAGTCTGCCCTGAAGACTGAGACAGCAGGTTCCTCCTAATCATCAGTAACCACCTACGAAAGTGACATCACTGTTAAACAGACAACACACCAGTCACTACGGGAATATGCTGCCCTGCGGCATGAGTTTTGGGAAGGAGCATACTCGCAAGTGTGCGCCTCACTTTTTGGCTACTTATCGACTGCAACCCCACCCCGGCAAGATTGTTCTCAAGACTATTCAGCCCGTGGTGCCAGAATAACTACACATAATAACAGAGCTCTGTACTTTAGGAGTTGTGAGATACAGCATACAGTGTTTGTGCGTGGGGAAACTATGCATGCTGTGCTGGCAGTGACATGAGGAAGAATAAGACAGTGCATTAGTGTACAGTGAAATAGCCACAAGCTAGACAAGCCGAACCAAGCTCACAAGCAGCTAAGTGATAGCCGGCTACAGGCAAACTGACCAGTCATAAATCAAATTTCCTTCTATTTCATTAAATATTCACATAATCAAAAAAAAAAATTCAAGTGAAATCTACAGATATTTATGAGATGCACGTTTTATGATGTCTAATAATTAAAACAACCAGACTGAATGTTTCTGTGAAGCAACTGGCACTAACGTCGTGTTGAAATGTACTAGATCACGTGATCACATTACTGTGCAGTTTTGTGTGAAATGATAAATAGTATTTATTTTCTTCTATTGATACAGCGTTTTGATTGCTTGTCAAAATCACCGGTAACATATATTAGAACACGGAATCAACATTAAATTTGTAGTGAAATTGGAGAAAAATCCTGCTCTCATTTACGAAATGTTATAACAAATGTACAGACAGGGAACAGTGGGAACACAGATTTTTGTGTGGGCTAAATTATTTCAAGATTGAGGGGACGACGTTATAGATGATGGAAAATCGGGGGTCTGTTAAATTCAAGAACTGAACCAAATGAAAAGTGACTGAAATGGCTGTCAGGAAGTTTACAGAGAAACTGGAGCGAATATACTTTGGTCGTCGACTTACGACCGACTTCCGTTCTGACTGACAGGTCGTAAGTCGGCCATATATTTATTAACAGTATTTTTTAACCTTTCTGATCTTTTTATCATCTTTATAATTTATTTTTAAAAACTTTTACATTTTAATCATCTTTTAATTTTCACTTTTTTTTTGTGGTCGTAAGTCGACGACCAAGTGTACATTTGAACCACGATACTTGGTTACTGTCGTGTGTGAATGCAATAGGAAGAAGAACCACATATGACATAATCTCGTATATCACATTATCTACGCTAAAGCGTGCTGCGGGATGTTTACTATGCGGGCGTCAATTACAACACAGATGCTGCACAGCGTTTCACGCCCAGAGCGTTATCGTACTGGTTTCGATGTGGAAATTATTACTGTTATCCGCCGCTTTCCGTGAATTCAGCCATCAGAGTGAGGAGGAAAGACACAACGCGGAAGATGTAGACGTGGGCAGGTGATCGCATAAACGACTTCTAAATAACAGGGCCTGACGACTTGGAGTGCATTCAGTTGTCTCAGGAAAAAAAAATCTGGTGGCGGACTCTCGTGAAACTTGGGATTCCGTAAAGGGCGGGGAGTTTATTAACCAGCAGGCGGACCATTGGCTTCTCAAGAGGCACTTTACTCCGTGGAGCCGGTTATTACTCTTTAATACTACAATGGTGCTCTATGTGTAAAGCATTTACAGTGTGTCTCTGTCATACGCCTTTCAAAATCTGAAGCATTTCACACAATGACTAAACACTGTAATTTTAATTCACGTATGAGTCAGCAGGCCCACGAATATACTGCTGTGGCTATCCACAGTTCAAACCATCGAAACCCTTGGCACTGCAGAGCTGGTGTCTGCACCATATTTGGTTTGTGCCGGATTCAAGCCACGGCCAGGTTACCGGCTATTGTAACTGAGGGTTTCCTCGACTTCTCGAGGTAAATGTAGGGGATTGTTCTTCTGACCACGCCGTAACCGCCTCCCTCCAAATAATTTCCTACTCACCGTTCATTATCTTTCCAGCCCGCCTGACAGTATGTATCTCGAAATAACGCCACTGAACTACCAGGCGTACGGCATGACTGCTGAAAATAATCTTCCTGTATTATTTTTTTATTGCTAGTGGGTGGGATTAAGTCCCTTGTACTGCGGCCATTTCTGGCCTATTGTACCAGCCCAAGATGATAGGTGAGGGTGATTGTGGAGCAATTGGTGGAATGAAGAATGGCAGAGGAAACCTAAGTACTCGGAGAAAACCTGCCCCAGCGCCACTTTGTCCACCACAAATCCCACTTGACCAGACCCGGGATCGAACCCGGGCAGCCGCGGTGGGAAGCCAGCGACTAACTGCTTGAGCCATGGCGCGGCCATCTTCCTGTATACTACGGCATGTATTGCTGCTGCCGTACACAATATACCTTCGCCTTTTCTGTTACCGATATTTTAAAAATTTATGGATTTATTTTTGGCTACTTATCCTCAGTAAAATCTTTCTTTAAAACAACTCACTTGCCAATATTATAACCAGCATATTCTTTCTAAAAACATGTCTGGCGGTATTCTAGCGCTCGTTTTCAACTTCGAAGTCGAAAAACACAATGCACCGGCAGACGTCTGACCTTTCGTAAAATTGCCGGTATACCTCAATTAGATGGAACCGGGTTAGC